AAAAGGCGTGGCAGACGAACCCACCAGGGAAGAGGGCCTCATAATTCAGAGAGTAAATTCTGATCTGCTTTTCATTTAAAAAAAAAAAAAAATTTGGGGGGCGGGGGGTCATAATATGAATTTGGTGTTGCGATTCCCTTCTTCCAAGGCGTCCTCCAAAACACGATTGCATGGTCGGCCAGCGCCAATCGCCTCGGACAGTGACGTGGACGACCCCGTGCCGTCCACCAGCGCCGTGTGTGGCCGCAGGCGAGCGCAGGCGGGCAGCAGGCCGAGCGGCCGGGCCGGGCGAGACGTCGCCGCTGTCCCCGGCGACGCCAATGAGCTGCTTTCGCAGGTGACGCAGCTTTGTACCTTTTGGGAATCTTTTCTTTCCGCAAAGCCGCATTTGTTCAACGGTCGGCCCATCGGTGGAATCTTTTAGCGTCACGCCAACTTCCGCTGGTGGTCATTCCTCCTGCTCAGTTTTGAACAAACGCTGATGCGCGTTATTTTTTTCTCTTACAGCTTTTGAGCAGAGCTGATCAAGCAGCGCAGCGGAGAATCGGACACACCGCGGCCCTCCCGAGCCATGAGGCGGAAGTCAAGCGTTTCACCCAGTATCTGAAGGCTCTCATGATGAACGTTCCGGAAGGCCAGACTTGAAAAGGACTCCAGCCAGTAGGTGCCGATCCCTCTTACGCTGGACTTTGGCGGTCGACGCTGCCCTCAGCAGCAGCGACCCGCTCAGCAGCAGGACCTTCCTCCGCCGCCGTACTCCGCCGCTACATACGAGTGAGCCTGCGGTCAGAATCGGCCGCCATTGCCGCCGCGACGTTCTCCCCCCTGACTTCGGTCTGTGCTTTCAACAGGAGTCTGAGTTCACTGCTGAATTTTTCAGGAAGCAAATCCCTGCCCGGCACACCCGACCACCACGAGATTCATAGAGACTGAATAGTTGATTGCATTGTTTCTTTTTTGTAAATTCCATTTTCCACTTTTGTTTTGACAATTCTTTTGGTTGTTTTTATGGAGAAACAACAAGACAATTGTTTTCATCACAGTATTCTTGTCTTTTTTTTAATCGTCTATAAAATATCAGTCTGACATCATCTCAGTTTATAAATATGGAGGTAACTGCATTTAAATTGCAGGTAAAAGGTAGGAAAGTTTTTACTTGGCGTTGATTCCTTCTTGTGCCCTGTATCAGATGGCAGGAAACAAATCAATCCAAGCAAAATATCAGTTAATCTCTAAATTTTTTTTCTGTAATTTTTTGAAAAAAAATAGGGGGAAAAAATTCTCTATGAGTTCCGTCATCGATTTATCTTGTCGATTAATTCTTGCAGCTCTACTTCATTTAAAGTACTTTTCCCTCTAGTTTGGAGGCGAGGTCAGTCCCTTGCGGATGACCGAATCGCTGAAGATCATCCGAGTGTTAAAATAAAAGATTGTCTGTCTCTTGTTCATCAGATCACGGCGACGTCCGTGCGATGAGCCAAGGAGACCCTGAAGAGCGGAGTGGTTACCGCATGAGAACACATGAACTCGACGACCACTTGGATCAACTCATGCAAACCCAAAATGGTGACGAGACCAATTTTAAGCTCCCGAATGATGGCAATTGGACCTGCTCCGAGTGCGGAGAAACTTTCAGTCAGCGTTCCAGTCTGAAAAGCCACGCATCATGTCACGCCGGCGACAAGCCGCTCAGCTGCTGGTTTTGCGCCCGCGTATTCAAACATCGCTCCGCGTTAGAGAGGCACACTCGCATCCACATGGGGGGAGAAACCTTTCAGCTGCTCTCTCTGTGGCAGCACCTTCAGCTGCCGCACTGGCCTGGATGACCACATGAGGATCCACACGGGCGACTAGCCCGTGTGGATACATCCTGTTGCTCTGTCAAACTAAATTTTAAACTCAAAGAATTCCTCATAGTTTACGTTTCACTAGCCTGTTGCAAACACACAATTCAAAACACCACTGACGAGCTAACGAAGAACACTACTCAAAGGCATAGATTCTTGATCCTCTCCAGAAATGACTACCGGTAATATACCTGCAGCTTACTGAGGACCGTCTCCATGGACATCTGTTTTTCTGTATGATCCTGCCCCCAGGCATGGAAGGAGCAGCACAGTGTTCAATGAAATGAAGCAAAAAAAAAAAAAAGTGGCAAAAACAATTTCATGGCATTCTATTTAGTTACAGGACGTCATTAATGTATGCTTTTATAGAGTGCAAACTAATGAAGTGCTATTTACAGTATTTTTGTGTACATTTTTCATTTATCTCAACACTAGACTGGAAGTCGAAACAAATCGAATATATACAAATTCTAATATGTGGACGTGTTAATCATAAGCACGTGTAGTTTTAACCTTCAATTAATACCCTGTCAAAGCCTATTATGACTTCTAAGATATTGAAGACTCGAGGGAAACAACCGCCGGTAAGCAGCAAAGACCATTCGCGCCATCTTCTGTTGAGCTGCTCACCGCTCCGATGCGCTAGGTGGCAGTATGAATCCTACAAGTCATTTTCAACAACAGCAAAAGAACATCCAACTGAGATTTCTTTTCTTTGTTTAGACATAGCAAGAAGCATGTCGATGACCCGCGAGCTCCAAATTGTCACGATTGTTAATATTTCATCTATCTGCTTATGTGGCCTTAACAACTAAGCAGACGCCGGATTTTAGTCCGCTCCGAGTTGCTCCAAAAGTGGAGGTTGTGCTCGTTAGCTTAGCCTGCTAGCTGATAAGTGGCCAATTCCGGAAGTTAGCTTCAGAAGCCAGCTGAGCCGAGCGAAAAGTAGTTTTGTTTGGAAATGTGCAAAGTCCAGATGTTGAAAGCCTTGGTGAACGAGCGACTAAATGCCGCCGTGGAAGAAATCTTTGGATTGTTCGAAAGGACCCTCGTCGAATACGAGGAGGAACTTTGTCGATCCAAAGACGTGATTGAGCGACAACGTCAACTGCTGAATGCACGCGAACCTTCGGGACGCGTCGACGCCACAGGTTGCCACATTTACTCGTCTCACATGCTCGCTCACACGCTTATGGTTTCGGTCAGGGTAGGCAGCCGCAACTCACAAAATGATGTGCAGACATTTCACCACCAAGCTCGCAAGGGAATATAATCGGACCTCCTTTAAACATGGTCACAAATCCGACTGCTGAGTGATTCGGTAATTTTTGAACCACATCCTGTTCTCTAAGACTGATCTGAAGTCGCCATTGTTTGACATATGAGCATTTCCGAAACAGTGCACTTTTCTGTCCCTTTCGGTGACTCGCCCAGTCTCCTTGGTTGGTTATCGGTTATTAAATCTCCTATCTCCTCGATCCTTGGACTGCAAATTTGGACAAAGCAAAGAGATTCTCAACTGTCGCAAAGAAGCTGCGTGACAAAAATGATTGTTTGTGTCTTTAAAAATGGACGTTTGTGGGGGAACATTTTTGTGTGATAGCGCCTCTGGAAATTCGGGTCACAAAACGGCTTCAAATTAGAGTAAAACAATATCACTTGATAATTTTCCAAGAACAGGTTTCGTCTGATTGAATGCCAAGTTTCAGTCCAAAATCTCCACCAATAAGCCAGTACAGGTCAAAATTCTGAGAAGGTTCCACTCTTAACGCATCAAAATTGCCCCAATAATTTCACATTAATCGTTTCAATGGACATTTTTTTTCTTGCGGGAAGTGTAATGGGTCGCTTTTTTTCCTGGACTCAAACTTTGTGTTTTTGTCATTCCATCATGACTTTGTTTCAAATTTATAAATTAGTTTGCTATACAAGTAATTTGAGTTCCAAGCTTGGTAATGGATTTGATTAAGCATGCAATTCAAGGTACCCATTATGATTCGAACTTTTCTAACAAAAAGGAAGTGTTCATATGGTCCAAAATGTAGGTGCGAGAGTGACTGTCTGATGTTTCGTGCTTTTTGTCTTTGTCTCCTACAGACGTCCAGTCAAGTCAAGAAGATGTTCCTCCTGAGGAGGAGGCTGAGCCTTCCCGGGTCAAAGAGGAGGAGGAGGACGAGCCAGAGTCCCCCCACCTTACACACGAAGGGGGTGAGATTCTGCTCGAGGCGGAGATCACCAAGTTCCATGTGAAGAGTGAAGACGAAGAAGACGAGGCTCAGTGGTCACATCTTAGGTAGGCTTGTAAAATGCTGGCAAAATTTCCATGGAAATTTCCAAACCATAAATCAAGAATTCAAAAAATTGAAGATTGGCCCCTGAGGGACAACTTTAATGCAGTGAAATTCCCGCGGGAGGAACGAAGCCCTGTTGTGAAGAGCAAAAATCCACAAACATTTGCTGCCCCCCCCCCCCAAGAGATTTTTTTTAGTTGCTTTCAGGTGCCACAAAATGGCAGCAAAACATTTCCAACGGATAGGATCATCAAGTATCAACACCATAGCTCAAGAATGCACACGATCAAATCCACGTTGCATGTTGAAACAAGTTGTTTGTTACACTCTCATCTTGCCACCAGACGACACCATCTCTCAAATTGTGCAATGACAATTTACGGAAACGGGATCAGTGCTTACCTGTGTTGTCTTTTCTGCAGGAAGACAACCGAATTTAAGCTGAAAGAACTTTTTGCCTTTTTTTTTTCATGCACAAATTGTAAATCTTCAGCTTCTCTGGGCTTTTCTTCTGGCCTTTTTTAGTGCAGTTGTGAGCGGCACAAAAAATGGATGGATAGATAGTTTGTCACAAAACAACAGGTTGGAAAGGAAGAGGTGAGCTAAATAGTTCACATGGTTTTTAAGCCTTGTTGCTCGCGGGAAAATCCAGTTGGAGTGGATGAAATGGATATATTGATGTGCTTCATTTTTATTCCACAAATAAAATATTATTCATTATCTCCTATTTTAAACTAATGGGCACACACAACATATTTAAAAAATGTTTGCGTTCCCCTGAAATAATGGCTGCTGACAAACAGCATCGATATTTGCAAAAATGTGAACATTGATCGAGGCTCATATATATATATTCAAACAAACAAAAAGATTTTCCGCATCTAAAAGGAAATTTTTGATTTTGGTTGTCAGGCGGTCAACTTCCGATGGAATTTTACAGGAAAATCTCCTTCTCTTTGCCACCCTAAACTCAGGACCGAAGGCGAGGAAACCCGACGCCACGGGCACTCTTCCCCGGCGTCGGACTGCGAGGAGGACACGGCGTCGGACTGCGACGAGACGGACGACAGCGAGGAAAGGGCCCGAGCGTCCGAGGGCGTCCTCGCGTCCGAAGGCAACAAAACCTTCGTCTGCTCCTTCTGCAGTAAAAGCTTCAGCCGCAAGGACAGCTTCATCCGACACATCCGAGGCCACACGGACGAGAAGCCCTTCGCCTGCTCCATGTGCAGCAAAAGCTTCAAGTACCGCTACGAGATCAGCCGCCACATGAAAATCCACACGGGGGAGAAACCCTTCAGCTGTTCCGTCTGCGGCAAGACCTTCGGCCGCCGCGAGCACTTGCTGTCGCACATGCGGAGTCACACGGGGGAGAAACCCTTCGGCTGCTCCGTGTGCGGCCGAGGCTTCAGCCAGCGGTCGCACTTGGCGACGCACTCCCGAACGCACACCGGCGTCAAGCCCTTCTCGTGCGCCGTGTGCGGGAACAGGTTCTCCCTCAAGTGCGTTTTGATCGCACACATGAGGACGCACACGGGCGAGAAGCCCTTCACGTGCTCCGTGTGCGGGAACAAGTTCACTCGCAAGCGCAATTTGTTGATGCACATGAGGAGACACACGGGTGAAAAAAGTAGTCCCATGCTGTGCGCGTGATGGGAGGAGTGCACTGGAACTTGAGAGTTTGGGATTGGCAAACATTTTGGGAGCAGCGACAGATTTTTTTTTTTTTCCAGGATCATCTCCTTCCAGAATTGCCCATTAAAAGTCATCACAATGAATTTTTTTTTTTAAACCGCTGGAATTCAAAAGTTGCACATTTTAGACAAAAGCATGCAGGAATGTTATGATATAATCAGTTGAAACGTTATGGGGATGGAAACTCTCCATTGGAATTCATGGGCAAGCTTTGTTTCCATATTTAAATGTTTATTTTTGAAAGGATCCCACATAATGACTCACTCCAAGCTGCAGTTGGTAGTTGAAGAGCTGATGCGTCAATTTACCAAAGCAACAGTGACGTTTGCTCTTCTTCCTTTCTGTACATACACTACACAAAGTAAATCAATATGCTCTTTTAACATGTCGACATCCCCAAATAAAAGCAGCTTCTTTGTTCCAGAGTGTGAATGTGAGAGTCTTTTTTTTTTTTTTTTTTTTTTTTTTTTACCCGTTACATATAAATGGGCACAAATTCATTTGTAAATGAAATGCTCACGAAAAAAGGAACGTATTGGAGGGAGGGTGTCAATTTGGAATGAGCCAAATGCGGTCAGGTATCCAGCAGGTGGTGCTGTGCCCACAAAAGCACATTTTGTTGAATGCAGAGTTGATCCTTTCATTTATTCATTCATTCATTCATTTTCTACAACTGATCCGAGGCCGGGTCGAAGGGGCAGCAACTTTAGCAGGGAAGCCCAGACTTCCCTCTCCCCAGCCACTTCTTCCAGCTCTTCTCGGGGGATCCCGAAGCGTTCCCAGGTGACAGTCTCTCCAGCGTGTCCTGGGTCATCCCCGTGGGCCTCCTGCCGGTGGGACATGCCCTGTACACCGGTGTTCAGAAGGCATCCTAATCAGAAGCCCGAGCCACCTCATCTGGATCCTCTCAACATGGAGGAGTAGCGACTCGACTCTGAGCTCCTCCCCAATGACCGAGCTTCTCACCTTATCTCTAAGGGAGGGCCCGGACACCCTGCGGAGAAAACTCATATCAGCCGCTTGTATCTGGGATCTCGTTATTTCATAGGTGAGGCTTGGAATTTGGATTCTTTTGTCACCTTTATGTGCATAAATGTGAAAATTTTTCTGTTAATGGGTCTAATTTCTGACGTGCTCATTTTTAAACTCGATGGATGAGCAATTTTTTTTCTTTATACTGTATTCATATATGAGGAGTTTAGCTTAACTCTTGGTCGTTACTGTATTTATATATGAAAAAGTTACATTTTTCATGCTCATATTTTTCTTTTGTCCTCTTGGGGATGGGGGGGAGGGTGATGGTGCTTGCGGGGATCCAAGGCGTCGACAAACGCCCCCGGTTGTCACGTGATTTCGCCGAACGACACAAGCCCTTCCCTCTTGACATGACGTCACCCAAACAGCAAAAGCAAACGCGCCGCGCTTCCATCCACAAGCTAGACTAAAAGATGCTCTTACGCACGCTTGACTTCATTCATCAAGAAAATATTAGCCACCGGATTCAAACGCACGCATTTTTTTGGGGGGAGACTTTGACTGAAAACATGAACAAGCGCACAACTGTGTGAAAGGCACGCAGTTGGCAGTGACTTTGAAGGCGTGCTGAGTGACGTCATGACATTTTTTGTCTGGAATGCGGAAGTATACGGTGCGCGTTTCCCTGTTTGCGGTTGTTGGGGCTTCGAGGACGAGTTGATGTCATGATAGAAACCTGCGAAACATGTGGAAGATGAAATTGTTGCCGCTGTTTGTGGTGGCTGTGCAATTCCGCAGCGTGACGCCTGGTAAGTGCGCAACTTGCACTTTGCAACTCGGTTCTATCAATCGTCTGCAAATCATTCATAGTGACGCCCTTTGCCGGAATTCGGCGACACTTTATGTTCGTTCACTCCAACGCTCCATCCTCTTGAACTGAAATAAGACAAGAGTATGATATTCAATGATTTCCACTGCGATGTGTTTTCGACAGAAATACTCACCTAAAATGACCAAAATCTTGTATGGTATTGATAATCGTTGTTTACCATTGAATTCAAAGGACCATAAAGTTATTTAAATGACTCCGCAAGACAAAATGTGTTTTGTATTAAAAAAAATTGCTGGAAGAATGTGATTGTGAAGTATACAAATGTTTCCGGATGCTACAATATTTTTTGGACATAAAACCGTCAGAATTTTTTTTCTTTTTCTTTCAGTGATTCACTCGCTCAAGTATTTCCAAACAACGTCCTCTGAAATTCCGAACTTCCCAGACTACTTGGTGGTTGGTCATGTTAACGATGTTCCGATTTCACACTACGACAGCAAGAACAGGAAATTTGAAGCCAAACATGAATGGATGAACAAAATGGAAACGGATGTTGCACACTACTGGGAGAGACTGACCCAGTACAATATTGACATTGAACAGACCTTCAAAGTCAACTTTGAAATTGCTAAAGAGCGCTTCAACCAAACTGGGGGTTTGTTGACCATCAGCTTTCCACTCTTCATGTCGATTTCATGCACTCTTACACTTTTTTAGGACTGATTTATTTATATAGTATATATTTATTATTTTTCAAAAATATGTATTTATATTTTTATTATTATATATGTTATTTATATATTTATTTTTAATATTTATTTTATGTATTTATTTATAATTATTATTTTACCGTCTTGTGGGTGTGCTCGCGCGTGTGCATGATGTCTCAGGTGTTCACATGATCCAAGTGATGACTGGCTGCGAATGGGACGATGAGACGGACGAGGTGGTGGACGGTTGGGAACACCTCAGTTACGACGGAGAAGACTTCCTGTCGTTTGAGTTGCAGACGCAGAGATGGATCGCAATCCAGCAACAAGCTTTCGACACCAAACACAAGTGGGACCAATTGGACAACCTTAATCAATACTGGAAGCATTACATAACAGAGATCTGTCCTCACTGGTTGAAGAAGCTTATGAGCCACGGGGGGGACTTCCTCATGAGAACAGGTACGATCACGTCACAGTTTACAGCCTCTCATCATTCTCTTTTACTCTTCTCAGTCCATTGTTTCCAGTTGTTGAAGTGAGGGCGGGAGAGGGGAGAAGCGGCAGTGAAACAGGCCAAAATGACAAGAAATCATTTGCTTAGGAGGGAGCGTTTTTGGATTAACATTGCTACACTCTCAAGTATTTGCCCAGATTAGTCTCGAGGAAAAAAAAATATTTGAGCTAAAATGACAGTTTGTTTGTATTTCGCCAAGCTATCGCCGCATGCCTGGTGGAATACCTCAAGATCCGTTGAATGCTGTTTACGCTTTAAGCTGTGATTTTGACACGGTCTCTTCAACTTGCATTCTTTTCATCTTTGGGCTTCTTGTACGTTCTCCGCATGGCGGACTTTGCGCGCAGAGCTCCCGGTGATGTCCCTGCTGCAGAAGACGCCGTCGTCTCCGATCACCTGCCACGTGACGGGTTTCTACCCCTACAAAGCCGCCCTTTTCTGGAGGAAGGACGGCGCGGACCTCCACGAGGACGTGGAGATGGGAGAGACCCTCCCCAACCACGACGGAACCTTCCAGATGACGGCCCACCTGAAAGCGGAGCTGCCGGCCGACGCGGAGGACCGCTACGAATGCGTCTTCCAGCTGTCCGGCGTCGAGGGCGACATGGTCACCAAGCTGGACAGAAGACTCATCCTGAGCAACGAGCGCGACCGAGGTGAGCCAGCCGGTACGCCAACCCGGCCCGACGTCTTCCTTCTCAACGTCTTCGTCTTTCTCTCGTCCAGAGGAAGAAATCAGGAAGATGACGCTGGCCGTGGCGATCCCCGTGGCGCTCCTCGTTCTGCTGGCGCTGCTGCTCGTGGTCCTCGTCAAGCTTCACAAAAGCAAACGAGGTGAGGGACGCAAATGCGCGTCTGGTCGGCAAGACTTGGCACCAAAACAAACTGCAACTTGCCTCCTCTTTTTTTTTCTTCCTTGCAGCCAACTACACGGCAGCGTGTAAGTAAAACGACGCCTGTTTTCGTGCCGCCGCAAATGAGCGTTGAAGCACAAACGCTGCGTTTGCGCCCCGCAGCTGTTGACGGCGATTCCGAGCTGACTCCAAGGCCTCCTTCTGAGCCCGATTCTGATCCCACTTTAAAGTCCGTTTCCGAGGCAGGTTCCGAACCCGCCTCAGAGTCCGCTTCCGAGCCCGCTTCCGCGTGAGACGCAGCAGCCGTCACACGGTGAGTTAACCGACGCGGACTCTGCGTGGTCGTCAATCGTTCGAGGTCGATTCATGTGCGCTCGTCTTCCTCCAGAATGGCTTTCACGTCAACAGTTCGCCCTGTCCATTTTAACCTTTGTCAAAACAGGACGACTTCTTCTTGGCTCTCGACGAAGACGGATACTTTTTACTGCTCCCTCCCGCCCTCATCATCCCTGCTTGCTGATTTGTTTTTGCGCGGTCTTGCATCAAAACGATCATTCATGGAGAAGTTGACGGGTCGCCTCGAGGATTTGATCGCCGATTCAGCTGATTTGGCGCCCATTTGAGCGCTCCAGGCTGACTGAAATTAGTGTCAGTCTGTTGCCAAAGCAACCGTTATTTTGGACTCTTATCTCCTGGATGTAAATGCTGCTGGGCGCTGGAGGCCCCCCCGCCCCCTTTAATTCTCCTGTGCGTTGTCACTGAGCCAGCGAGGTCATCTCCATGGCAACGAGACGATGTGTCGGTGTGTCAGCTGGGACCGAGGGCAGAGGGTTGCGCGCGCGCACGCTCTCCTCGCCACAATAAGAGTCCAGGTGTGCCGTGGACGTGCTGGACTTGAAAGGCCGCTGTCGCCGTGCAGTGTGTCTGGGGTGTTATCTGTGCCCCCCCGCCAAGCCCCCTCCGTTACCCCATGTGCAAGTATTTTGAGTCGTGTCGTTTACTGTATGTCTTTGAATCACGTGGCTGTCGCAGAGGGTTTTTCGAAAATCCCCCGCTGTGCCCTCCCGTGTGGAACCAAAGCTAGGGAATTTTTATGTATTTATTTCCCCCCCCTCAGCGTTCCTTTGTTTTCTTTTTCATCCGGGTAAACTTGAGCGCTACTTGTCTGACGACCCGACAGACTCTCTCTTCTGTCCCCCACCACCCTGTTTTTTTTTTTTTTTATGTCCATTGGACATAAAAGTGAATGCCGTTGCTCTGTACTCATAACATGTGCAATGCCAAAAAATGTGATTTGAGACAATGTCATTTCGGAAACTTCGCAGTCGCTCACATGAATGCCAATCCAATGTGTTCTCCTTGTTGGCGTGGCGTCGAGGATTGTTCACCTCGCGCCAGGAAACTTGGAACTTTTCCACTTTCTGTTTCAAGCGCTCGGACGTATCCGATTGTGGACAAAACGCATTTCTTTTCATGGGCTGTCAAATTCTACGTTGACGCATTTCACGGGGACGCGGTGAAGTGACATTTGACAGAACTGAACTTTCAAGACCCGTCGCATACTTTGTTCTCTGATTATAATCGCTGAAGCAAGCAAAAGAAAGAGGGCTCTCTTTTTTCACTGTGAAGATGTTTCATAAATCATCAACATTTTCTGACCAACCAGTCATGGAATTATGATCAATTCCTGTTTTAATGTCAATTTGAAATCTTGTCCTGTTTTGGAATAAAGGCACAGAAATTAAAACGTTTTTTTACCCGTTAATGAATCCCCCAAATAAAAGTCATCACTATGAATTTTTTTGTTAAACCGCTGGAATTCAAAAGTTGCACAATTTAGACAAAAGCATGCAGGAATGTTATGATGTAATCAGTTGAAACGTTCCGGGGATGGAAACTCTCCATTGGAATTCATGGGCAAGCTTTGTTTCCATATTTACATTTTTGAAAGGATCCCACATTATGTCTTACTCCAAGCTGCAGATGGTCGTTGAAGATCTGGTGCATCAATTGAACCGAAGTGACGGCGACGTTTGCTCTTCTTCCTTTCTGTACATACACTACACACAGTAAATAAAAATGCTGTTTTAACATATCTACATCCTGTTGGGGGAAAGTGGCCTTCTGTCCTCCGCGTGTTCGTTGAATTTCGGACGAGGAGGCTATTGATTATCCAAATACAGGCCGGAGTCGATGAACAGTTTCTTCGAAGCTTTTAATAACAGAATATTCCGGGCACCCGCGGTTTACAGACAATGACTGCGGTGGTCATGAGTGCGAAGCAGGAAGGGATTCATGACTAAATATGAGCAGAATACAGACTTCATTCCACAAATAAAAGCAGCTTCTTTTTTCCAGAGTGTGAATGTGAGAGTCCTTTTTTTTTACCCGTTACATATAAATGGGCACAAATTCAGTTGTAAATGAAATGCTCACGAAAAAAGTAGTGGAGGGAAGGTTTCAATTTGGAAGGAGCCGAATGCGGTCAGGTATGCAGCAGGTGGCGCTGTGCCCAGAAAATGCCCATTTTATTGAATGCGGAGTTGATTGTTTTGTCACCTTAATGTGCACAAATGTCAAAATGTTTCTGTGAATGGATCTCATTTCTGACGTGCTCATTTTTAAACTCGATAGATGATCAATTTTTTTCTTTATTCATATATGAGGAGTTTAGCTTAAGTCTTGGTAATTATTCATAAATGAATAAGTTACATATTTCATGATTATATTTTTTTCTTTTGTCCTCTGGGGTGGGGGCATGGTACATGGGGGCACCCAAGGCGTCTCGAAACGCCCCTGATTGTCACGTGATTTCGCGGAACGTCACAAGCTTTTCCCTCTTCACGTGACGTCACCCAAACAGCGAGCGCAAACACGTCGCTCTTCCATCCGCAAGCTTGACAAAAAGATGCTCTTACGCACACTTGACTTCATTCATCAAGAAAATATTAGCCACCGAATTCAAACGCACTCAGTTTTTTTTTTTTTGGGGGGAATTTGAATGGAAACATAAACAAGCGCACAACTGTGTTAAAGGCACGCAGTTGGCAGTGACTTTGAGGGCGTGCGCTAAGTGACGTCATGACATTTTATGGCTTGAACGGGGGAGTATCCGGTGAGCGTTTTGCTTGTTTGCCGTCGTTCGACGTCGGGCAATCGAGGACAAGTTGGGCTCTCGACAGAAACCAGCGAAACATGTGGAAGATGAACTTGTTGCCGCTGTTTGTGGTGGCTGTGCAATTCCGCAGCGTGACGCCTGGTAAGTGCGCAACTTGCACTTTGCAACTCGGTTCTCTCAATCGTCTGCAAATCATTCATTTTGACGCCCTTTGCCGGAATTCGGCGACACTTTATGTTCGTTCACTCCAACACTCCACCCTCTCTTCTACCGAAATAAGACAAGAGTATGACTGTATATTAAATCAGGGGTACCCAAACATTTGTGACCGAAAATCGACCTTTTCGATCAAGCAACCTTCCGAGATCGACCCCGTTACCGCGCGTGTACGTACACACGCACGCCATGAATAGCAACAGCCTGACGCTGAGGCATGCGACGCACTTTTGCAGCCTGTTCGCTGTCGTAGCTCGCACGTACCGTTTAAAGTGCTTCCCTAGGCCCTCGAGATTCCTATTCTTTGCCCGTGCCCTCGGTGAATTGTACACGAAACAAACTCTGAATGAGAATAATGATAACGATAAAAGATAGAGCGCAACAGCTCCGATCATATATCATGAATAAACATGCGTGAAAACCTGTACAGTTCTTTTTCTGAAACATTTATTTATTTTGTGCATGCAACACTTTGTTTTTTTTTCTTCTCTACCCG